TTTTTTTTTTTTTTTTTTTTTTTTTTTTGGCAGAAGAGGCCCCATTCGCTGATGTTCTCTTTCCTAAAGTCTTGATATTTCGCCGTTTCTGCTATCTTGTCGTTAACTGTATTTATTACTCTCCTGTAATCACGCTATGGAGAGGCGCTTGTGTTTAAGCTGTGCTTCTCCGATCACCTTCCGCCCAACCCCCCCCGTCCCCACTTTCCCTTGTGTTAAAGTGTAAGGGAGAGAGGCGAATGAGGAAACGTCAGACGACGAATGCACTTTTTGAGTGTTCGGTCAGCATATCCTAGGTTCGCTTTGACCCGGATCGCGTGCAACGTAGTTGACCGGATCATGGGTGTACGGTGGGTGGATGCGGTCTGCTAGGAGGTGATGGCCTTCCCAAAGCCCAAGTGTGCGAGAGCTCAACAATAACTTGCCTTCTGAACCTATAGGCATCATCGGGGAGACACATCGCTACTGATCATGACGGCAGGATATATAACGCAGTGACCCCAGCATAGTCTATTCCGATCCTCCCTTTTCACGGTCAGGTATTGATACCAATCCAATTCAAATTCCTCCTGGCAGACGCAGAGATTGCCGCATTGGTCGCCAACCCAGATAAAGGTGGCTGCCTACTGCTGAATGAGTTGATTTACTCACACGAAGGAGCCGACACCAATCGAAATCAGTACGTAGCTGGATTCCACTGCCTTAATCCTGCACGGCCGGTGACTCGGGTTGACGTGCAGGCCTACCCGTCTGCCGCCAAAACAGCCGGGAGGTACTTTTATCTATGCAGCTACAAAGGCATGGGAGGCCGGAAATTATTTTGCATGCGAGGAGCCTCACAGATCGTAATGAGTATGTATATGCTGCCATGCCTCTCGAAACCCTGGCTGGGTGAATAACAGGAATTTGTCGGCCCGCAGACTCCTTCTATTTTTATTGTTATTATTATTTTTTTTGAGCTTCCTTCGCCCGGGCAATTCTCGCTGAAACATAATGGACACACCAAGGAGTATTCTAGGAATGGCGTAGATTTTGCATGAGTGTGACCCCTACTGTTGCCCCTCGACCAGACAGCAGCGAAGATTTTCAAAAAATTCTGGTTGTGGATGTTGAACGTTTTAGCTGACAGCTTCAGGAGAACTCCGCCCAGAACTGGTGATCATATGTAGCGTGACGCCTCGCTGCAAGTGATGGCATTCACGCAGCCGCACTCATTGGTTGCTAGAAGCTGCCATCATGTAGCTACGTTTGGAGGACATGCAAGGATTCTCGCACAGATCCACGATAGTCTGATTGACTAGCTATCAGCGGCACGGCAGCCCCACCGAGGCAATCCACAAAACATCATGCCCCTTATCAAGTCATCCATTCTCGGTCTGCGAATGCATGCCTGGTAGTATAGTATGTCCGTTACACTAGCTATAATAAACGAATCTCATGGTCTCCCTTACAGCCCGCTATGCCCAGAACCTGTTGACGCATATCAGTGTACTGGCGCACTACCTGGCTCGAGATCATTGTTCTCCTTGTTCCGACATTGTGGTTTCGCCATGTGACCGAAATACCGAAAACTAAAGGTCCGAGGTGGAATAAGATCAGCAAAGGTGGTTTCTCGTGCTTGTTCTCTCTCTTGTCCCTTCTCTGCTTTGCTTGTTTCCTTGGCTTCCCGCTGGCGTTCCTCCGCAGCCCATTTATTTTCTTCCTTGGCACTCAAAGTGCTTTGTAATCGGCCCGGGCTGCTGTTAGCTAGCCATTTCCTAGATGCTAGTTCGGTCGGCCCTTGTTTATGTATCAGCTGGTCACGGTAGTCAGCTAGTCAGTAGTTTCCCACGTACATGGTGGCTAATGAGCTGGAAGTTGGATTGGGTTCACTTATTCACTGTTGACGCCGAGCACATTCCAGAGAATTCTGCTTATCAAATTGCTTATCTCCGCAGGGGACTATATCAGCAGAGGCAATGGGACTAGAGGCCCCAACGGCTCAAGCAACACACCCAAGTAGCGGTTGCCCGCCTAAGCTCCCCAAGTCAGAGCCTGATATGAGCCATCGATCCATTCTTGTGACAAAATTATTGTGATCTCTGTTTCTAGTTACGGGGTAGCCAGCAATCCCAAAGCGTGATGCGGAGTAAGCAAACGCGGAGAGGCGTGATATTGAACATGATCTGTTCTTTTCGTTGAGACTATGGCTGCCCTTGACTAGCTCCACAACTAGGCGGCTCGGATCCATCGCCTGCGTAATTCCTGCTAGCGCGAAATTGAAGCTTGTTGTTGCATACTTGCTACACGCCTTTGCCCGACCTAGTACGTTATATACAGTGTGGCTTTTTCTGGTAGGCCTACAAGTCTTCTGTCAATGTTATTCTTCTTGTTATAACCCGATAATTTCTACAGCGTGATGTCCGATACCATTCCAGAGAGTAGAATTGGTGAATACCACGGGTCAATTTCCCGAGTCACCACCAAAGAATCGCCAGAGTATAGCTCTGCAGAGGCCTACTATCCCCAGTAGGTGATAGCCAAGGCGATGGAAGGCGACTGGGGATCTGATCTATCAAATACTTAGGCCCAGACAGCCAAGGCAGGGCCAAAGAAGTTGAATAATCCTTGATATCCCTGAACTGGCAGGAGCAGCTGATCCGGGCTTCCGAGTTGTGAGTGGCAAACTACTTTCCTTTGAGATGTTCTGTAAAACCTTAACAGATGCGCGAGAGGAAGAGGGCCACTGAAAGTAGCTGAGAGCGTGAGGAATGTCTTTTCCCTTTTTTCTTTTTCTTTCTTCTTACCATCTTTAATAATCATGGTGGTGTACGGGCCGTAACGATTGGTGGGACGTTTCTCCGGAGCTAGGCGGGATACCTCTATAGGAATCGTAAGGTATGTAGCAAGAAAGATTATGAGACACTCTTAAGACAGCGGCTGACCTTAAGAGTCCTGCAAAGCAGCCGATACCATTCATGGGCTAGCGCGCCGGGTCAAAGCACCTTTTGATTGGGACCCTACCAGGTGGTAGTGGAATTTCGGTAACCGAACGGAACTAGCCAAGATGGCTAAGCACACAGTCAGAGCTTGTTCAACACTTAAGGGGATGTCAGTGTTTGTTGGCTGCAAAGCTTATTAGTAACATGGTGCAAGGAACATGACAGTTTGTGTCTGAGAAGCGATCTATCGGCTTGACACGAAATTTTGATCCATAGATCATAGCAAGGGTACCAAAAGGTGTAAAAGAAGAAAGATGATGCGTGCGAAAATTGTCCTAGGATGCGCCCATTGATGTGAGCGGAATCTCCTTCCAGCGAATCTGGTGCTTTGACGCTGCAAGCCAACATCTACAGGGAGAGAGTATCGAACAGGTAAATTTGGTCCCCGGGGAAGCGAGCCGCAAAGCCGGCGCGCGCGGCTTGCAAGCAAGGTCCAATCGATGTGGTGATGGTGCCTTCCTTTCGCGCGATGTAACCCGTTCTCGTTCCCCTTCCACTGTAGATCTATTTGTGAACGTTCCCATTTCTGCGATATGTCTGAAATCAACATATTGGAGACCACGTGATCACAGTCATCTGCAGGCAGCCTACCGAGGGGGGTCATTGACGCCGCCTCCGATGACAATATACTTCTCTGGCTCCTTATCCCAGTGCTAGAGTAACTACGTGGGGTCACTACCAGCAAGCTCCTCCAAGCATGAAGGGGAACAGGCTTATGTAGTTCGCCACCTGTGCCTGTAAAGCGGGAAACAATTAGACTAGCCAAAAAAGACTCCGGAACTTTTGCTTTGTAAATAGCCTGTATTTCACACAGCCAGTAACATTATCTCCGATCAGCATTGTTGTTTAAAGACCGATTATCTAGGAGTATTGTGGGATAGCCAGAATATGGAATCCCAACTTGCGCTAAACAAGGGTGCAGTCGGACGAACTGCAAAGTCTTCAGCGCGATGCTGCAAGTGCCACTCACATACTGCGACGGCAAGTGTAGCAGAACCTCTCCGTACCCTAACAGGATTGCATGGATTAAGAATATATTAATCCCATAGACCATCAGGTGAGGCTTTGGCTCCGTCGCCCGTCAGCTCTTGAGCGCTTACATATTGCACTCTAAACAATGTGCTGGTTGGCCATTGTACTGACACCAACCAACGAGCGGTCAAAGCAACGACCCTAGGACAAACGAACATTTACTGCCTGCAAGGCCGAAAGCACACCAACACCAATCAATAGAGCGGCCTAGCACCGACATCAATCTCGGGTGTATGTGACATGTCGTCAGTTCGCGCTCTGAACGATTGCTAGGACAGTTACGTATCCTCTTCAGGGAATTTGTAGGTGATGAGTGTCACACTCTGGGTGTGGGCAACCCCCGCTGGGTCAGAGAGCGTTTCCCACCCAACGCGCGCGCTAGCATTGAATTATTGGCCTGTCAGCACAGTTTAAAGAAAAAAACATCTGTACCTTTGCATTTCGCATGACGTGACCAGTTAACGAAATGGTCCCAAGAGCATGTTATGGTTATTTCTGTGGCGAGTCTTTTGATGGTCCGAGCCATGCACTGTCCGAAGCCTATTCGAATAGCTACTTCGGCTAGCAAATGCAGACAACGCATCAACAAGCAAGCCTTCTGCTGACGCATAGACAAGAGACCGGCGTGCAGAAAGCTGGTAATGTTTGACACCTCCACATAACCCAACTATAAATGATAAGCTGTTGTCTCCTTCGCGCTCCACCTAGAAAATCTACCCACCTACGGCTCTCGAACCGTCCCTCAATTCCGTCCGTACCCATGATGGTCTTGCTTTGAAACGCTCTGTTATTGGCTGAAGATCCTTCTAAGGAAATTTCAAGCGCTGGGCGACGTTTGTTCCAACTTACTATTGGGAGAAGATAGAGACTTGAAATATTCTTAACCACCATTTCAAAAGGCCAGGAACCCATACAGTGAAGCTAGCACCACCGACTACGTGAATTTACATCCGTACTTGGTATCTCTAAAAGCTTGATCGACTTCCGGCCAATGACTAGAAACCCTTTGGACCAGCCATTAGGCCAACCAAGTAAGTGATATATGCAATAATCAGGATCATGTCGATGCGTGATTTAACAGTGCCTTCAATTCCCAGGAAACCGGAGCAAGGGCACTGGACACACTCTCTTACGAGGTATCCCGTATCTGGTTGGTTAAACTTGCTCTAGTCACCGTGGTCATCTATTGCTCCAGTCTAGTGCACCGCAGGATTCGTCTAGTACGTTGGACGATTCCGGCTCTAAACGTGACAGTGCTTTCACGGTGGATACCATGGACCAAAGGTCTATCAAGGCTCAGCTCATTTCGACAGATTACTGCAGATCCCACTGGATCATCGCATTCTGTCAACTTGACAGGTGCATCGATGCAGATCTCTCGAAAATCATGCTCTATTACACGCGAAATAGTCTCCTAGCAGTTATGAGTTCTATCGACTTTCTCATCAAGGACGGCTACCCACCGATTGACGTCCTGAAGGGATATATGTGGCTTCCAGAACATCTAATGCAGCGACATGAATCCTGCTATTGCGTCCAATGGGTGTAAGTGTAATATATGATATACCGTCCTCTCATTTCATCGTCTGCAGATGGGGGGTCTTATGCAACTATCTTGAACTTGGCTGTATAGAGACGGTCTCTACAGCTGGAGTTACCCGAGATAATATGGTTTTGGAGCTAGACTGCAAACAATCAAGTGCTCTGATCGATATTGATACGGACCGCTTACGACTGGACGTTGTCACCGTACCGGACCTTGGGCCCGTTACGAATGACGACTTCCGGGACGCCGAGTATCAATCTTCTCGAACGTCAAGCCCCACATCACGCGAAAACAAAGGAACAGCAAGCCGCATCTGTCCGATCATCGATTTTAAGGGGGTGGGAGTGTATGCGGGGAAATATCATATTGGCATGGCCAGTTATTATGCTTTGTTGTTCACAATTGCCCTTGGTACATGGTAAGTTGAGGGTGAGACAAGAGACAGAAGAGGTCGAGCAACCGGGAACCAGCGAACATGGTCCATCATCCATGGTATGCCGTAAGAAGCAGCTGCAAGACCAATCCTCTTCCGAGTCTTTTGGCGCACCGAAATATTCAAGTAAATGCAAGTAGGCCAGTGGTGGCGGTCGATTCAAGGGGTGGCCCGCCGGACCGTGGGTTACGTTATGACATGTTGTTTTCTGTCTGTCTGAAAGGCGATCTATCAGCCTAAAATTGTGAATAAGTTCTCGCACAACTACTTCCCCCATTTATATACATATGAGTGAAGCAAAGTCCTAGCATGTCACCCGCTGACTTGACCGAAATTTTCTTCTAGCGAAATCCGATATTTCGATGCTGGAAGATGACATACCCAGGGACAGAGCGATCGGCCACTCGGTATGACAATTCAACCACCACCTGGTGGGGGGTCTCCCAGAGACGATCAGGATAAGTTCTGTCCCATTGTACTAGAACTTGAATGCTTTCATTCCTTACAAATGACGAAAATTCCAATGTGTGCCTTATTACCGACTGCGATGTGGAAGCTCAGATGACAAGATAATAAGCCAGATAGCACCCTTAGCTGATGTTAACCCGAGCACAAATTGTTATAATTCGCAGTTGCTGTGCTAGCGCTACCAGCCCGGATACTATACCTGTCAAGGACTTGTAAGTCGCTAAGCCACTGAATGATGGTAATGTCTACCATGCTACTATACTGATCAGGGCCGAGGCTAGAGCAGATAGCAGACACCATAAGGCCATGGGTTGGACTGTGTTGCCATATAGGCCAGGAGGGCATTGCGCATGATGTCACGGTTAGTAAACAGCAATGTGGAAGTGATGGCGCATGACTCGCAAAGTATTGACAGATAGCATATTCTTGAACCCCTGCACAGAGAATGCGGAAGAGCTAATAATCTCACTATCAAGATATTCCGCGTGCCACTTACATTGGCACATCATATGATACAGCATTATATGTGCACAAAGGATATAAGAAGCTGCTCAGGACGGCAGGATGCCTGTATCATATGCACGATACATTAATTTTCCATTACCCTAGCCTCCAGCAGCCCTGCATTTTTGTGACTTACAATCCGCTGTCCCAGAATGTCCTTTACCTGCAACGCTTCTCCATCGAACGGGGCATACCCGCACAGTGCCCATCCCATGGCTGATGGGTCCACCGATGAGGAAACTGTTATTCCTGATTGTCTTCTGGCGGCGGCATCAATCAAAGGAGTGTGGCGTCAAGAAGCGCCAAAGCGCGTGTCACCGCAACCCATGGCTGCAAGTCCGAATGGTGATCTGTGCATTCCCAAAAGACGGCCGCCTACTCCTAGCTGGTCAGCCATAGGAGTTACTAGGGAAGAGGCTAGGCCAAGGCAACCCAGTCAAGCATACGGGCTGCAGAAAGATAGGAGAAATGTCTATCCTGTTCCGGAGGACGGTCCTGCAGTCGACACGCCGCATGGTCTTGGAGCTCATCCGCACCCTCTGAAACAGTCTGTGGTCCCCGGACTACCCCAGTATCACTTTAAAGGACGGGAGATAAAGTTATCTCACCTACTCAGCCTAAACTTGATCCCATTTCAAGTTTTGGGATGGAGACACGAAAGCACAACAAATTCAGCAGACGCTAGCAAAAGGCCCGATTATCAGCCCTGAGACATACGATGTATGCCCAGTCACAATAGATTCCATCCATGGCATATCCTGCGCCTGAACAATGACGTACACGACGTCGCGAGTCCTGTGGTAACCCACTCCAGTTCGCTTTGGACAAGGAGTCTGCGCATCGAGGTATATCTGATTCGAACTAGTTGCTCGTTCAATACTTCCCGCTCAGATGCGTTCGGTTTATGGCCTACTCGACATATTCCAACCTTTGTGACGGGCAATGCACGATGGACCCCCGGAGATTGCCCGTCTGGTCATGGGGTGGGGGGAAATAAGGTAAAGAGGCAAAGAATAGTGAGAATATGTTCAAAAGATGGTGGAAAGATGGTGACAGGACACGGAGTGGACATGGTTAATAATCTGCTATACCATCTGCTCCGGGAACGGGTGCGTGGCAATCAGTTGGGACGTTAATCTGTTCAGAGGATGCAAGGTTGCCCAGGCGCAGACCTCTTCCCACCCACTCCACGAGACGCGTATAAATTCAATAGGCGCGCCAGCCTTGAACATAATAGATAGCTCCGTGACGGATTCTCAGACCCGGCACTGACATGGACGGGACAAATTGGTTGCACCATGAAGACATAAAGGAGCAGAGGCGCAGTGCAACGTATCCAGTTAGCCCTAACGCCGACTTCTGCTGCTCTCTGTGCTCAGACCACCCTTGTACCAGCCACACGTAGTGAGTTGTCGAGTCGATATCGCCTCAGCCAACGTGGCAGCTTGCAGTGCAGGGTAGTGCGAAGGAAATTTACAGTAGGTAGATAAATGATCTGCAAGAACCTTGCCGCAGACGGATACAGATTGCTTCGATTGCCCACCAGCCAATTGAAAAGACACCAAGCGCGACGGTATGCCCCGCCATTCGGGAAAGTCATTGTGAAGAGTGCCTTTACGGCCGCATACGTCTCGGTCTCGATTTATACTTACTGCCTCGCGCGACCGGAGATGTGTTATAATAACCGCCACAGCAGATTGATCGTGGAGGGTGCATATAAGGACTGAGACGGCATCCCAGTATCTGGCATGCGGTACTGCGAGCTCGTGCGTCTCGTCCTGCTCGTCCCTGCATTAAAGGTCGTCAACACATAAGACTACTTTGATCGCCACACGAAGCATGCTTTTACTAGGGTAGTCCTGCGAACCTTCAATGAAGCAATGCACCATGACCATATACCTGCTGCGGCTCTCACGCTCGGCTGGGGCTTAGACGGTCAATTTCTGATCATGAGTTGACTGTGCTCTGTTATGGCAGATCGGTGGACTGGAGACGCGTGTAGGGGCCGGCCGCCTCACCACCTGCGTCAGTAGAGAGCTTTGGTCGTCCGAATGATGCTCGGAAGGGCTGGGGATGCTGATCGGGATAGGACTGGGCCAAGCTTTTCGTCGGCCACGATTTTGCCTCCAGGGGATCTGAGGGCTGAGCAGCGATGGGAGTTGCTGTCGGACGGCGGTGCCATTTTATGTTCCTCTCCAGCAGCCGAAATATGGCCCGTAGAAGTTCTTTCGCTCTGGGTTTGCGCTGGATTGAATATATCTAAGCTTTCTCCGGGCACGTTAAACGAAGATGACGAGCTACCCATGATGGATATTCACGTTTCTCTCTAAAAATCTGGGCCCAGTAGTGTCTCATGGACAGGGGGAGCGAGAGTGAATAACAACATGATCTAAGTGGGAGGACTGCGCTTGCAGAGACCGGCGTAAATTGCAAGATTCAGGTAGGTGTATTGCCCGCTATGCGGAAGACCAAGGAGGGGAGGCCAGGAAACACTTATATGCGGAGTATTCATTGTCCTGGGAATGTTCCCTGTTGATCGACATCCCGTCGATTCAACAATTCCCCGTAACTTACCTACGTCGCCCACCACTCGGCATGTCCCGTTGCCCAGGGTTGTTCAAGTTCCATAGGTCAATACTACTTTGTGAGATGGTGTCAATGAGGGAGGAAGCCTTGAGCCACAGGCCAGGCAGGCCAGTTTCAGAGACCACATACTAACGAATTGTTCTATATATCAGAGCGAATAAGGCTAAATTGGACGAATGACCGCGCTGGGCGAGAAAATACCCCACGCCGCTTTGATCCGCAGCAATGCAGGTTGTCGCTAAACCTCGCCAAAACGCGGGTTCGGCTGGGTTTCCATCTTTTGAAACTGCTGAAGTAAGAATAGATTGATTGATTGTCGGTTACTTAAGGAGTTTTTCTTTACAAAGGCGGGATAGCACATATATATGCTGGTCCCATCCCTGCCATAAGTTTCAGCCACCATGATACTCATCACAGCCACCGTGATTTTTGGGCGGGTTGGGGACCCCCGAAACCCAGCCTGGGTAACTCGTGGGCGGGCTCAAAAGATGGAAACTCAACCCAACCCGCGTTTTGGCGAGGTCTACCCTTGCCTACTAAGGAGTCAGTGCTCCAACAGAAGGCAAACAAATACGGAGATGCCCAATATCAGCTGTTTCTTGAGACCCTTAGGTACTGTACACACAGGGTCCGCTGGATGCAGAAGAAATCATCAGATGGGTCGCGGATATAGACTGCTTCAAACAAAACTCAGCTATACTGAGCAATCCCTACTTAATAATCTATGTTCGTCTCGTAGCATGGGCCTCGTTGTCCCGATACGGCGCCTTCTATTCCACGACTTCTTCTTCCCCTCTTCTTCCCCTTGTTTGGAACCACTCTAACATGCTGTATCTACGATGGGGAGATGACTTGTCGGAACAGCTCAGTCTGCCCCGTCCCAAGAATTACGATCACGCTGACCACTGCCTTGGTGAGGACCACGTCCTCCACATGCTCAGTGTCTTCCAGGAGGGTTAGAACGTCCTTGTAGTTGGAAAGAAGGGCCTGCAAGTAGCAGCCAGGCGCGTCCATTACTTGCACGCCATCCCGCATGGGGTACCAGGCGACCGGACCGGCCAGGAAGAGGCTGATCAAGAGCGGCACGTAGACGAAGCAGACCATCAGCAGCAACAAGTCGCTAAGGATGCCTTACGTGAAGCAAATTATCCGGCGGGTGTGAACGCCTGTACCGGCAAAGGGAGACGATCAGCACATTCCAGGGCAGGGAGATGGGCCGATGTACCAGGTCCCAACCGAGGAGCTTCTCCGTGTAGAAGGGCCGTAGGCCTAGCCAGGCCTTGATCGTACCATGTCGGTACATGAATTCTACTTGCTGAACGCTACGCATGGTATGCTCGTACCCATTGTGCTGCGCCACGATGCCGTCCTCAAAGCAGACAGTCTAGTTTATTCCCCCAGATATAAACATTACCTATCCATCATGAAGCCATAGCTAGAAGCAGTGTCCCCTATAACAATCCTCCGATAGCTCCGCCCCCACAGCCATCGTATAGCGGCACCGAAATGCCTCCTCGTCTTCATCGGTCTTGCTTGCATAGTAGGTCTAATCCTTGCGAGTTCTATACCTTAAAGCCTCAGCCTAGCAGCATCATCGCCAACTCCTACAACCAACAGAGTTGTCTGCCTTCTGACCAGCAATCAATATCATAATTTCCAGATCTATGCGTTGCTAGTGAATGGGCACTTTCGTGGGCCAAGAGCCGATCTCACATGGTGTGTGTAGCTCGAGTAGCGCGAGTCTATTCAACAAACTATGATGTTCCGTACGGAGAGGCAATCTTGTCTTCACAGCCGGCCAGGCTAACAACTAACTCAACGTAAGCCACGATCGCGCGGCCCATACGGTCGAGCGGCCCATCTAATAATGCCATATAAAAGCTACTTTTTTGATTCAAAATATCTCAGCCACTTAGAGAGTAAAGCATTTCATTCTGAGAACATGGACTATAGGCATAACAAATTTTATTTTAATATTTTTCTAGTATATTTATAACCATTAATAATGGCTGGTCATATAAAATACCCGTATTTTACGTGTATTTTTACATGGTGCATATATTCAATATGAAATATATCTTTTAAAAACTTTTTGAGTAAGTCTCAGAAGTTTATCTTTAATCAGTAATCAATATGCAGAGTTATATCCTCCCAAGAGATGTGATTAGTGAGATATAACACTTCTCAAAGAGTATATGTTTTGTATGGTATTACAAGATGGGCCGCGCGATCGTGGTTTACGTTACAAGCCTTTCGCTTACTCGGCTCGGGACAAGCCACTTGTGGCTTGCCATTTGCCTAAGCCACGACATCAGCAACTGGGAAATGCGGTTGAATACGTGGAGGGTCTTACCTACGTAAGAAGTTCCTCGAGTACCAAGAAAGTGTGGGATTTCGAAAATAGCGCACATTCCCGAGCGGAAGAAACAGTCGGGATACGGTCATATATTGAACGACTAACCATTGCTCGTGCGGCTTGTACGGCTGTCGCGTGATGCATTTTTTGGTAGGCATAAAGATTGCCGCCCCCTTAAACACACAACAACCCCTGCCCCCCAAACCAACTCTCCCCCCACCAACTATGTACTGGGTGCAACTATTGGAAACTACTATTATCTGGCAATTCATGCCGAAGCGAAAGATTTTGGCCTTACAAAACATTATCGATATCCCGCATAACTCACGACAGGTTCAGTAGATACAAAACCACTAGCTATCAGCCACATGGTACGATCCCTACCGACTCGAACCCAGACCTAGCTCAATGTCTCTTTCTAGCTTTGCAATCATCATGTCAGGCGACAGGATATCATTTAAGCTTCTTTTCCATTGGAGAACTGTCTCGTCCTTTTCGATCTTGAGGAATGTAAGGAGACGCTCAAGAAGAATCGCAAGTTTTTGTCCATTTTTTTCGGCATGGCGCAATGCCGCCTTCCTACGCTTGTCTTTGTGCGGTTCGAAGATACACTCTGACCTCGAGGACATGCAAGATAGACAAATTGGTGTCCCAGTACACTGTCGGTCTTTAGCCAATTCTGAGCTAAGTTATGTGAGACAAACAAACCTTCCTTCTCTTTCTGCGACACATTGTGCATGCAGTATTTCGCCGATTTGGAGTTAATCCGCGATGAATCGGTTCGGTATATGGGGCCTCAGTTGCCGGGCGCAATTGTCGAAGTCGGACATTTTCCGTCATGGCCACCAATGTACGGACCGGGAAGGACAGTCAAGACCTAAATAAAATCATCAGAGATTGCGTCTCCTAGGTGCGTCTCGGACCAGCGTGAATGTGTCCTTTTCCACACGCGCAAAAATCAATATTCAAATAATATGGGTGTAGAGCTTTGTATTTATTATATGGCATATGCTTGTCCAAGTTGCCGTGCAACAGGCGGGCTGCCCCCGCCGAACTACAGCTGATTCGTGCAACACCCCTTGCAAGTCCACCAGAAACGCCACCAATGCATAAGGCATAATTTGCCGGCCAATGACAGCAGATAATTGCTATCACTTGCAGTGAGGTATCAGCCTGTGTATATGGCCACCCATGATATAAGGTTCCCTGGCAGCAGACAAGGGCTGCAAGGGTTAGTCACCTGCAATTGAGAGTGCTCAATAAGCCACCTAGTAATACGAATCGCCTTGTTTGACGGGCTTGCCTATGAGCTGCCAGCCTTCCAGCTCCTCTCTAGACTTATGACTTGCTTTAAATAACCGGTATATACCTTCGAGCACCGTTATTCGTTTGCTACAGGAAAGACCAATGATTGGCAGAACTTTCTGGGCCTAACGTCTCATAGAACAACTATCTATATAGTGAAATATGGAGTGCTATTTCGAGCAGTCTCTGCGCAAGTAGCAGTGATAAAAGTCTAAAGATTCGTTGCATCATCCGATTAATGCGGAGAAGAGAGGCGAGGAGCTCCGACAGCCATGAGATTACGTCAGAGTAAACCGGCTTTGTGAACCGAATGCAATTTTACACAGAAAAACCACGTTGGCTACTACGAATAGCTACCCTGGAGCTTTCCAGACGATAGAAAGCCTTGACTAGAAATATTCAAAAATACGAATGTCCTTGATAGCTGACTCGTCTTCAAAGTGATTGTCCTTGCGCGTGGCACATTCCACATACACAGTGCTCATGATTCTACATCTGTCCAATGAAGAAGCACTGATTTCCTCTAGCGCTGATGTGACTTGAGGTGGGGAAAAGCTGTCAAGGGAAAAAACCTTAACGTCTATGCTACGTATGCCAATACTGCGTATATCGGTCACTCTACTTTCCAAGTGCCGAATGAAAGGTTGGGTGGTAGTTTTCCACATCACCTGCCACCAATTCCCGATCGAGAGCCGTTTCAAGATATGATCCGATGTACTCCAAATGGTTTTAGGGCGAGAAGAATGCCATGAAACATCTAGAGGGCGCTACAGATGTACGTACAAGAGAATAATTATTGTGTAAACGTTGGTAACCATCCAATCCATTGCCCATGACGGACAGGGAAATTACCGGGTTGGTCACCGGGCCAGCGAAGATCGGATGGCTGCCTACTGCTCAGTTGGTTGCCTTACCACCGGACACTAACTAAATCCAGACTGCATTCCGCGGCCTTGACCCCGCACGGCGGACGGTTCCCATTGAGGTCTAGACCAAAGCTAGTAATGGACATCCTTGGCTTCTGTTACCAAGCAGCTGTCAGGAACGGCTATAAGGTACTTTTGATGTTGGTCTGGCTGGATCAATCAGCGCAATCAGGGATGCAGTGGCAAAAATGTTACTGCTTTGCATGCAACGAGGCTCGCAAATTTTGCTAAAGCCCCATGACGGTTACCGCAGATTCTAAAAGGGGTTTTCTACTCTCATGCTCCTGGAAACCCATGCTGGTTTGAAAATTAAGTATTCAGAGTATACCGCTGTAAATCATATATCACCGTGAAACATTATGGATAGGAGGATCATGGATTAGATATGTTGAAGAATATAAAATAATCTAGGCTGTGCTCCCACTGTTACCCGCGGGCAAGAGAGCAATCAGGCTTCTTCGAGAACCTCGAATTAGACATCGAGCATTCTTCGTTGGCAGCTCCAGGAGATCTACAAAATGGGCGATCAATATGCAGCGTGACACCTCGCTGCAGGTGCTGGCATTCGAACGTCTGCCCTCATTGGCTGGTAGAAGTTGCCGTCGTGCAGTTACATATGGTGGACGTGCAAGGGGCCTTGCGCAGATCCTCTGTAGCAGATGGCAGTGGCACCGGCAGCCCCGCCGAGATACCATCTGCAAATGTAATCCCCCTTACCAAGTCGTGCCCGCCAGCACATCCCTGGTAGTATATTACGATCCCTTCCCTAGCTCTTTCTATGTGGTGACTGATGTCTTACTTAGGATTCTAATGCCTACTCCTGTATATCACACTGCTTTAACGGGCATATAAAAGAATCTTAGGGCGTCCTTTTGCCTTCGGCTATGCCCAAACTTGCTGATCTATAATGTATCGAATGCGTAAGTTGCTAGGCCTATGTGAATTTATTTTGACACTTGTTTTGTGATACAAACGATGGTCAGTTTTGGAAATTAGCGTTAGGAGGTGTTCGAGAGAACTGGGAAATGATAAATAACTATTCTGAGCGCTTGGCTAAATCACCAGGCAGGGATAATGGGAGACTACTTGAATATAGAACTTCTCTTGCGAGAATTTTGACAGCTAAACGGATACTGCAGGACTAAATGTAATAAGTAAATTCTGATCTAATAGGTACTACACTTGGTGGCTTAGATTCTTTTCGTCGCGCTACACAAGGATATCGACAATTGCGCAGCCTTTATATGGAATTTTGACTAGTTCTGCACTTTGGCAAGTGGAAGAGCTTAACACTCTTATACCGAGAGGATTATGCAAAGTCCTCTCAGTGGTCTTTTTGAACCTACTTTCGGCCTATGTCATGCGCTGACCGGCATACTATACACATCTATGTCCGTTCTTGATACCAATTGAAGCAATCAGAGGATTCAGGGATTCCTGATTCACACAATAACACTGCAGGAGGGAGCATATATTCTGGAATTCAGCAAGGGAGTAAGTACATGTATTAAAATTGATAACCTAGCAAGCAGAGAAAACTGCCAATATAGGACCTTTCATTCACAAATAGTCTTTCCTTCTATAATAAACCTCCATGCCTGCGCAAGGACCACTCAGCGTGGGCTCAATGGTCCTGTAAGCTTGGCCTATGTTGCACTTGTGTGAGACAACGATCGTACAGGCAAGACATTCCAGACAAACATCCGGCCCGCTCTCTTCCAGCATGAGGGTGGTTCTCAACTGCTGGAAGGCAGCCAACAAGTTCCTTTGAAGCGAGAGAGCGTATTGTAGTTCTTCATAGGATGGTAGTGAGACCCCTCGATGAGTAGAAACTCGGTATGCGCTCGAAAATTGAAGCATCCGAGAGCTCTGATCCTTGACCTGATTATCATTAGGAGTTCGCATTGTCTAGAGATGAGCCTGACTCTACCTCTTCGATCAGACGGAAAATACTCGTTTCCCTGTTTTGGCCAGTTTCTGAAAGGCTGCTTGGGCATTCTTGCTGGATTTCATGGTCATCAAGGTGCGCCAGATTTATCATGTTGAGTAAAGTAGGCATCGTGATGTGATTACCAAAAGTGAATGCCGGTAAAGGTGTGTATAGTACCCTGGGGCGACTCATGGCATGGGTAAAAGTAAGTTTATATAGATTACTGCGAAACCGTTGCAGAATTCTCTCCGTAGATAGTCCTATCATCATTCCACTGACCAAAGCGTTAAAATAGTCTATTCTCATCAAGAAGCAGCGCAATTGTCGAACCCTATGTAACGAGAAATGGGAAACCAAAGCTAAAACAGCCATTAGCCACCACAGATAGTCCCCCATAGTTGGATCAATAACCAATCCATTTCCCTCTACTTCTGCAATACCCTTTTGAGTGAGGGGACCCCGTAAGGAAAACCTGCCTAAATATTGCCTTACCAATTTGCTGTCTGGGATTTGATCCAGCGCATAGAAGAAATTTCAGTCATTTCCTGGTCCTCTCAGGCACTTCGTTACTCTAATTTCCTGGATTTATCATTCTGAATTTATCAAAAGCACATGTCAATCTTGACATCAAACAAACCAAGCAAGTTAGTGCGCAGTACATCCATATACATATCAACAAAGTCTGCGCATAGCGGACTGCAAAGGGAGACCCCGCAATTTGTTTAACATGTTCCCGCCAAAACAGTGTACCATACACGAGTGGGCGATAGCATCTCAATAAGATATCAATGAACACTTTGGGAAAAGGACAGCTAAGAAATCCTATATACTATCAGGTATGTACTGGCAGGCGAAGGATGCATGACTTGATAATGAGAATAATGTTTGTGGATGCTATTTCGGCGGGGCAGCCGTGCCGCTGCTAGCTGCTACGGCAGAACTGCGCGAGAGCCCCTGGACGTCCCCCGAAGGTAACTACACGGCGGCAACTTCTACCAACCAATGAGGGCAGACACCTGCCAGCACCTGCAGCAAGCTATCACGCTGCATATGACCATCAATTCTGTAAATGTGCTGGAGCTGTCAGCTGGGAACGTTCAACATCCAAGTCGAAGTTTTCGAGAATACTGGCTGCTGTCCTGTTTCACCAAGTGTTACTTGGGCCACAGGAGAATACTAAGGATAGGGAATCTACTGACCAACGAATATTTGCCTTTTGCCCGGCCGGGGTTTGGAGGAGCATGGCAGCATATACTCACTTATTATGATCTATGGTAACCGTCGAGAGGCTTAGCGATATCTACGAGGCCCGCCGGCATGCAAAACAGTCATCAACCTGCCATAACATCGCGGTTGCGCAGATCAATCAGGCCAGGATCATGTCAAAAGTACCTCCCCGCTTTTTCTGGCAGCAGCCGGGTAACCAAAGCTAAGAATGGCCATTGATAGATTCAGGCCTAGACATCAAATGGAGTCGTCCGCCGTGCGCGGTATGCAATCGCGTCCGGATTTGGATTAGTGTCCGATCTTTCGTGGAAGCGAGGCAACCAACTGAGCAGTAGGCAGCCACCCGATCTTCGCTGGGATGGTGACTGACGCGGTAATCTCCCCTTCTGTCATGTGCAGCTGGGATCGAATTGCTACTAACATTTAATTACAGGCTTAACAGCTTGAAGATGCTCAGACTTTCGATACGCCAATTGAACATTGGCACGTCTGTGAGTCGTCACGACACAATCGCTCAGACTCTGTAAGGGTCGGACAATAATCCCAAATCTGTATGTGGCTGCACTCCACTGCCTTGACTCCGCACGGGCACGCTCTGACCGGAGGCCAGGCCTAATTTTACCACTACTACACAACATTGTTAGTTTCAATTACTCAATTGCCGTCAGTAGTAGCTAGCAGCGCCACAGCAGCCCCGCCGAAATAGCATCCCCAGATATCATCTCCTAGTCAAGTCACCTCAGCCTACGAGCACCAAGCTTGGTAGTATACCCACGATACCTGAGCTATCTTTACTTAAGTGATCTTTTAATTGCCCATTTGAGATCCTCTTGCCCACTCATGCCTTTACACCCCTTGGGCGGACATATGGCAATAATCAATATCTCAGAATCTCCCATTCCGGTCCGCTATGCTCAAACTCTGTTAATGCATATCCATGTACTGGCGTACTGATTTGCTAGATGTGTGCAGTGCTAACCAAGTATACGGTCTGAGGCTCTCAAAAGACGAAATCGCAGTAGCGCTACAAACGTTCCGAGAAAACTGGAAATCGATAGGAGTTCTTTCTGGTCGCTTTATTCATCATCAAGACAGAAAAATGGTGATACAATACTTGAACAGTGGAATTCTCCTTGCAGGCTTTTCTTCACTCGAAAGGGTTAGACTGTAAAACTGAGAAGAGGTGGTTGTGCCTCTAATCGAGATGCAGACTATTGCTAGGTAGCTGATGCTTGTTTTCGTTTCTTATTTTTGTGGTCTCTAGTTACGCACGGTTCGACAATCGCACCGTCTATAAATTGTGAATAGGCGTTGATGGCCAGTGGAAGGGATAGTTGAGCATCCACAAAGAAAATCCTGGCACATCCTCTCCTTTGTTATCACGGTCTAGCTATTACGGTCTAATTTCATTATATGCACAGACCAATGCTGTTAAATAATTTAGGAGAATGTGATTGTGGAGCAACTTCGGTAACGGTTCAAAATAGACGGCACGCCGATGGGCTGGCCCGAAGACGGGCCATGAAACTTCTCAAAGCGGCGGGGCTTCCCGCCCCTGATAGCGACCGAATTGATGATCATCAGGCCCGCACCGGATGGCGACAGACTGAAATATGGCCAGTGAAAGGGGCCAGATTGGATTGTACCGCTTGTCGTCGTCGCGGTCCAAGGTGGATGGAGACTGATGGAAATGTCGGGTGGTACTCCATACTAACATCGAGATTTGACACACTCGTCTCACCGAACCAGAAGGAAAGTATTTTGCCTCAGTGGCTGCCCTACGCAGTGGAGGAATTATGTGCCCTCGCGTATCCCAGCAGTCGTACTGGGGAGCTTTATGGAAATATTAAGAGTTTAGGATTGAATAGTTCGGCTTATAGTTCCACGCAAACCCTGCCAGCACCCAAGTGATCGACACTTTCTGACAAGGGATTATTCCCCCGTGTTCAAGAATGATTGTCGGTCGACGTAGGCGTCCTGGTACGCATTTCCATCTCGTGCTCCTCCTCGACCTTCTTTAACAAGACGTATTTATACAGAACCGTCAGCGATAACGAAACTAAAAAGGCACTTCCGACCATCACCGTGGTGACCAGAGCCATGATAGACCAAGTGGCTGATTGCGCGGTGTATATGTTGATCAATGTTGTAGCGAGGCCCGCAGCTGCATTCATCGCAACCGGCCTAAACTCCAATCAGCTTTCATACGGAACAATGGGTGTACAGATACATAGCTGGGTCTGC